TCGCCTCCAGATACCATCCTACTGAGGATTAGGTTCCAATATATAAATGTTAGGGAGAAGCATACATTCTATTTAAAACAATCTAATTTTAATGGTTTCTTGGAATTCTATTATATGGTTGTTATATAATTAATTTAACCTTATCCCTATTGTAAGACATTTAGTTTGCTTCTGATTTGTTCCTATTATAAAAAATTATGTTCTTATATATCCCAATAGTAATTTTCTATTTTTGAATGGTACATACTATTTATGCAATTTAAATAGTTTTAACAGAATTGTGAAATTTCTTTTCTTTATCCTTTAGCAAAATCATCTGGGAGAATGCTAGGTTTGTGAGAATGTGCATGTCCATGTGCCCATCCTTGTAGGTAAGTCTGTGTAGCCTAGAACAATTATCTGTTCCCAACTCCCTTTTAGTACTGCTTTTCACCTGTAGCTATTCAATATATATCCAGGTCCAAGTCAAAGGACAGATGCTGGGAACTGAGATCTACAAACTTCATTGTAGAAAATCTTATGAATACCATGAAGTGTTTTCCTATGTTGAACAAATTGTAATGGGTTCATGTACTCAAAGGAGATACATATTTTACATGCAGTTGCCTAAGTACTGCCCAGAAAGATAGACAGATTCAGATTTCATAACCTAGAAATATGTGAGAAAGTCCTTGGAGTAGTAGAGGCTATGCCATAATGGGCTTGCATTAAACCCACTTTTAGCCATACTGTCATCAATAGGTTTAAATGCCCAACAAGGAAGCAAAAGACAGCGTAGAATAATTGATATTGGCACAAGATCTGGGTTCAATTAGATTGCTCTTTTACATTCTCTCCCTCCATCTAGATCCTGCTCATCCTCTGAGAACCAGGTCATAGTCTTTTTACACAGGTCAAGACCCGAAAGTCCCCCTTTCTTTATGTCTTTTTCAAAATGGACTCATTTGAAGGAGGTTCTGACTTTCCAGAGGTGTCACATGGATATTCTGACTCAGGAAATAGGTTTGGGGTCCTGCAGGTAGAAGAAGATGTAAGATTCAATTAGTATAGTAGATATGCTTTATTCAGTGGTAGTCACAGCCTTCAGCCTCCAGCTTCATCTCCAGCTCCTAGCCAGTTCCATTTTAGTGCTCATTTTGCCCCCATTAGCCCATTTGGCCTTCATCTTTTCCAAAGGCCTTTTTCATATGCAGGCCAAACAAAGAAGGGACACTGCTAACAGGTTACATAAAGGGAGTGCATACTCACAAGTTAATGTTTATGACCTTGACAACTGTCAGTACATATCACTATGGGGGTTGCCCCATATGCTATCACCATTTAGCTCAATTCACTGACTATTTTGTCTTGAATTAGTACCAAACCAGACAATGTCTGTTTTTGACTACAGAGCCACTGACATCCACACAAATAATTGCCCACAGCTGGAGTCATCAGTGTATCAAACACTGAACAGTATAGGTGTCTTACCTCCAAGGTATGGCTTGTTTATGGTTCACCTACAAAGGTAATGGGGCCTAGCACCTCCTGAAGTCTGTTTCTCCCGCCAGCTTCTGGAACCCCTAAATTTCATAGGCATAAAAAAAAGGTGGCCAGGAGCTCTCTTGGCCTCCATCCAAATTATTTTCCCAAGTCCCCCCAGCTCTGCTTGACAGGCTGAATATAGTGAACATGGTTCCTGGGCCTAGCTCTGCCGTCAGCTGCCCATCAGCTGCTGCTGCTTAATTTTCAGCATTACCACTGGCCAGGTTTGCAGGCTTTATTCTTCCTCATCCTCCTGGGACTCCATTAGCACTATGGGGGAAGCCAGTGGGTATTTTCAAGATATTGGAGATTCTCCTCCAGTGACTATACTCTGGCTCTTAAGGCCTCTTCCTTATCTTGTAACTCCCTCATCTTGGCAGTCTGTGATAAAACTGCATCCGTTTTTGCTCTCAGAGCTGTAAGAAACATTTATCCCACAGCCCCAGCAGCCTTGCATGCAATTAATTCCTCAGTCTATTTCTTTGTTTCATCTGCACCACCATTGCAATCTTTGTTCTTGGCTGCAGGCTGGCACCTGTGTTCTGTAACCCATCATTCTGCAGGATGGCACCTGGGTTCTGTAACACATCCTTCTGCTGAGTCCATGTTCACCACAGGGCAATCAGAAGTATTCTATATGCTTACAGGAAATCCATCCATTTTGTCCCAACTCTACAGAGGATATCATGCTAATAGGACCTTGGCAACCAAGTGCTACATACTGCTTGGTGGCCATAGGTCCCCCCTGTCTACTGGAGTTGAGGCATCTCTCACTTGAGGAACATCCTGCCAACTACAGCAGCTGTCAAGCAATGGCTTTGACCCAGGAAATGAATTTGGGGTTTGGCAGGTGGAAGAAGATTCCAGACACAGTTAGGATAGTAGACATGCTTTATTCAGTGGTGGTCACAGCATCCAGCTTCAGCTCCAGCTCTAGCCAGGTCCATTTTAGTCCTCATTCTGTCCCCATTAGCCCCCCATTAGCCCATTTTGCCTTCATTTACCCCCACATTTTTTCCAGAGGCTCTTTTTATATGCAAGACAAACAAAGAAGGCACACCACCACCAGGTACATAAGGGGCGGGGGCAGGGCACATGTTCACAAATTAATGTTTACAACTTTGAGTATATACACTGAATCAGAGTGTTTCTGGCCTTGACTAACCAAAACATAGCCAGTTCCCAGCCCTGGCTACACACTAAAAACATAACATATCCCATCAGAAGTCTTAGTGAGGGAGCCTAACCATAGCCATTTTGAGCCTGCCCCAACACCAGGTATAACATCTAGTTCCCCCTGTTACTATAATGAAATACCTGAGACTGAGTATTTTATAATGAAAGAGGTGTATTTAGCTCACAGTTCTGAAAGTTCAAGGGCATAGCACCAACTCTGATTCCCTCTGGTGAAGGCCTTCTGGCAACAATACCACATGGTGAATGGCATTACAGCAAGAGTATGTGAGGATAGATCACATGGTGAGACAGGAAGCTGGAGAGCAATTCAGGAGTCAGGCTTGCCCTTTTATAATAACCCTATTATAAGAACCAAAAAGAGTCCAATGAAAAATCACATCAATTTCTTTTGAGGGCACTGCCCTCAATGACCTAATGACCTAACAGTAGGACCCATTTCTTAAGATTCCATTACCTCCCATATAACCACACTAGGACCAAATTTCCAATATATGTGCTCCCTTTGGGGCACACATAAACCATATTCAAAACATGGCAGGGACTAACAGCTCTCTCAAAGCAGAGTTCTGTCCAGCAGTCCCAAACCATTACATATTGAGATCTCTAGGGATTAAGTGCACACATTTCCCAGAAGATATAATAATGTGATCAAAGAGCAGTGAAATAAAATCTCAAGGCATGTGGGGTATTTTTTCCTTTCCACAGATCCATTGAGCTCTTTATTTTCCTTCACAAAGGGGCATCAAAGCTTATAGAAAACAAAAATATGTTTTCTATATGTTTTTGTGTCTCCTGCTATTATTTTTTTAGATATTGCCATTAAGAGCTAAGCAATTTGTAAATTTTTTATTGCAAATTTGTGACTTTTACCAGCCTAAAGTAAGGTTGATATATATATATATATATATTGTTGGTACCAGGGATTGAACCCAGCAACATTCCCAGCTCATTTTGAGATAGGGTGTCACCAAGTTGCTTAGGACCTTGCTAAATTGCTGAGGCTGGCTGGAATTACAGGCATGTACCACCATGCCCCATCAATAACCAATATTTGTTGAAGACTTTATATGAGCCAAATGCTTTACATCAGTGTTATTTATCATCAAGACTTCCCAGAAATTAACTCATAGACTTTTAAAAAAAAATTTAGTTGTTGATGGATCTTTATTTTATTCATTTATTTATATGTGGTGCTGAGAATTGAACCCAGTACCGCATATGTGCTAGGCAAGTGCTTTACCACTGAGCCACAATCCCAGCCCAACTCACAGACTTTTGATATCAACTCCTTTCAGATGAAGAAACTGGGGCTTACAATGTGTACCTGACAATTGATCAATTGGTGAATCTTCAGAAAACACAAGTTCTTGGAAATGCCATCACAAGAGTTCTAGAATCAAATATCGTTTTTCTTTGTTTTACCCGAATAAAATCATAATATAATAACAGCATCCCCCACCTTTTTTTTTTTTGTACTGGGGATTGAAACCAGGTGTACTTTACCCTTTTCAATTTTTTATTTAGAGACAGGGTCTTGCTAAGTTGCTTGGGCCTCACCAGGTTGCTGAGGTTGGCCTTGAACTTGTGATCCTTGTGCCTCAGTCTCCCAGTATTATAGGTATATGTGCTACCACACTCAGCCATGATGCACTTTTAAAGCACTTACTTTATGCCAAACACTGTTATAAGTGCTTTATATATATATATTAATTAATGTAACTAAAGTAATTTTGTCTTTGCTTTTTATGACTTAAAAAATAGGACTTACTTTTTAAAAGGACTATATAAGTATTAAAAATAGAGCTAAAGCTGCATTCAAAAATCTCACTACTGTTCCAGGCTTCTTTTAATTTTTACAACTACTGCCCAGCCTACCTGGCTCCAAAAGAGCTAAGGACAAGAATGCAGATGAAATGGAGGCTGGGGGAGGGACAATGGATGGCGGAATTAGGGATCCTAGAGCAGCAAACAGGAAAATTCAATTGTTGAAAAAAGTAGAAAAGTTCAGTAGCTCCAGAAAAAGATGCACCCCCTCCATGGTAATCAGAGAAAACAGCGAATAACTTTTTTTTTTTTTTTTTCTCCTTTGGAATAGGCAATAAAAGAAAAGACTGACGGGGCCAAATGTATAAGAGGCGGGCAGGGAGGGAATCGAGGGCGGGCCCATATCTGCCGCGCTTTTGGTGGGAGTGGAAATTGGGGACCCGAGCTCACTGGTGACGTAGATCTCATGTGACCAGGAGTCGACGTGTGCAGAAGTCCTGCTAGTCTGGTCCTTGTTCCAGTCTGGGTACCAGCTCCCTTCGGCAGTGCTGGCGGCAGCGCCRGAGGCCAGTGGAAGGATTCAACTTGCTGGAATTTTGCAGGTTGGTGTCAATATGGATGCTGTCTGGGGATTTCTTGTGTGGGGTGGTCCTGCGGTGGAGACTTAAAGGAGTCCCAGGGAAGTCCATTTTTCCACCCTTACCTCCAGATCTGCAGGAAATGATGACCCCTGGGAAAGGAACTAGGGGTCCCGAGAGAAGATAAAGTAGACTTGTGAACATCTAAAAATAGTCATCCTGTGAGATCTGACCCCTTTGTCGACATTCACCCTGGCTGCAAATCCTGCCTCAGTTTTAAAGATACTTTGGAAATAATCTGCTCTTCCCACTCCCTATTCATTATTCAGTGAGAGAGACGAGTTAACTTGCTCTATGGCGAAGAGGCGAACTGGGGAAAACAAAAGATGGGAAACTTTCCATAACTGAAACCTTAGATGAGAAAAGCTACTTGTGCCTGGTCTTGGGTGCTGGTCGGCCCACCAACTACTCGCCCCACCCCCACCATTGCCTCCCTTCTCGGGTTTGTCCGCAGGTCTGTTAGAACCTTCCGAGGCTATAAAAGTAGGAGAAAGCAGCAGACCGGATCAATACCAGGTAAGTAAGAGGAACAATATAAAGACTCTGGGGGTGGAGGTGGGTGAGGGTGGGGTTGTAGGCCCCACTGTCCCTTCTCCCCTCCCCCTCCTTCCTTTCCCCCTCCAAGCCAACCTTCTGCGTTCCGGGAGGGCCCCTTGAGGGAGAAAGGGTTGGGGAGGGCCGGGAGGCGGGAAGGAGGGCCTTGGAAAAAGCTGGAGGGAGGGACGAGAGAAGGGAGGCGCGGCGGAAAGTGGAGGTAAGAGGGCGGGGTCAGGGAAGCACTGATTGCTGACTGGGCTTCTCAGGTGGAAGATATTTGATGACGTCAGCTCTGAAATAAAAAAAAAAAAGCAAATGCCGAGCCCCTCAGTGTGGAGCACCTGTACAGTCTCCAAGCCTATGACTCATTGTCTCCTTGTTTCCTAGAAGTAATTGCATTCAAAGAGGAATAAGCAGGAAAGAAGAAAAAGAGGCACAAGATGAAACCCTGTCAGAAAATTGAAGAAAAACCAGACAATGAGAATGAWCCAAAGCTGGAGGAAGAGCCAAAGCCTGAGGAAAAGCCAGAGGAAGAGGATGAACCAGAGGAGGAGGAAAACGCAGAAGAAACTTTTAGAGAAAGGCTGATTCAATCTCTCCAGGATTTTAAAGAAGATATACATAACAGGCATTTGAGCAATGAGRATATGTTTAGGGAAGTGGATGAAGTAGATGAGATAAGGAGAGTAAGAAACAAACTTATAGTGATGCGTTGGAAGGTCAATAGAAACCATCCTTACCCTTATTTGATGTA